TTAAAATAAAATATAGCAAAATTATAACAACAACAAAATAAAACCACAGTAGACAATAGAGTTAGTATGACAGATCTAAAAATACTAAAATATAATTAAGATTGGAAAGCCTGGAAGAAACTAAAAATTGGCACCCCCCCCCCCAATAACTTAGATAAAACACTCTGGGGTGTTTCATAAATGAGTGTTAGCACTAAGGCCCTCTCTTTATTAGCCACCCCACCTTTGTTAGGGGTACCTATATGAGCCTCAGAAAATGATTGCAGTGTCTAAGTGGGAGGAGGCAGTTCTTCAGATAACCTGGCTTTTGGAATCCTTTATGGTTGTAAGGCAGCCCTTCCCTGCCCTGGTGCACTTCCCAGTGTTAAAATTTGATACTGGCAAAAAATACTTTTTACAGCAAGCTGCTTAAGGATGTCATCCTATGTTAGTGGACTCCAACGTTAGTGGACCCTCCCTTCACTTCTGTGGTTGGCATGGTTCTTTTCAAAACTGGAAGATGATCTTTGGAGCTGCAGGGGGACAGCAACAGGAGGAGTGAAACACCACTGCTCTCCAAAGAATCGCAGTGATGCCTCAACATCTGCTCATTGTCAGGAGGGGGAAAAATATTTAGATGACTGAAATCAGCCGTCTGTACCGCTGCTGCTGGGCTGGTTGGTCGAAAGGTCGCCAGTTCAAATATGCACAACAGAGTGAGTTCCCATTGCTCCGTCCCAGCTCCTGCCAACCTTGCAGTTGGAAAGCATGCAGATGCAAGTAGATAAAAAGGTACCACTTTGGTGGGCAGGAAACTGTGTTCTGTACACTTCGGTGTTTAGTCATGCTGGCCACATGATCATGGAGACTGTCTGTGGACAAACGCTGGCTCCCTCGGCTAGGAAACGGAGATGAGCACCGCCCCCTAGAGTCAGGCACAACTGGACTTAATGTCAAGGGGAAACCTTTACCTTTTACCTTTATTGTACCCCAGGAAAGGCCTTGGGCAGTTGGACAGGTTGAGATAGACTGGTGGATATAGAAAGAGATGGACAGGTTGATACAGAAAGAGATGCTTTTTCAGGTATTTGGGTTCCAAGCCATGCAGGGCTTTTAAGTATCAGTACCTTGAACTGGGCAATAGGCAACTAGTGGATCCTTTAACCCAGTCGTAATATGCATAAATCTGACGATACTTCTCAGTATTGACTCTAGTATTCCACCACAGCTTGAATTCTGTCGTCTTCTTAAGGGCAGCTGCCCATCTAAGAAAGTTGGATCTAAGAATGCCCCCAAAGTACAGTATGATCCGTAACAGGGATTATCAGCACGGCAACTATCCACTCTCATTGCTGCTATTTTACCATCTTAACATGGTAACAAGGACTCCAGAACGAGGTTGGCTGTGTTTGCAGTAACCCAGTTGGATCCCTGAGAACCTCCCATACTGTAAACCTTCAAAATAAGGTGATCCACACTAAGCTGGTTAGGCAAGCCCAGTACTCATGTCTTGTTCAGATTGGCTCTTTTTTATTGGCCCTTATTTACTCCAGCATCAAGACCATGCACTGGTTCTGATCAAAAACAAAACAAAACCTTGGACATTGCAGCTTGGGAATATTTATGTTCCCTGGTTGAAATTAAATTTTGGTTGTAAAATATTTTGATTATACTTGCTATCAAGCATTCACTTTCATTTTGCAAATAAATATGGAAGGCTGAGTATGTAGTAGAAATTTCTGCCTGAGTTTTTCTAGTAGGATAAAACAAGTTAATAGGCAGCATTTTACTGATATTAGGTTGGTGCCTGATAACAAGTAGTTGCCCTGATTATCAGGGAACCTTGATTCTAATGGGACTTTATTATTGCATGTATATAAATAGAATTCCTGTAAAGGATTATATAAGTCAAATATTTCCACTGTGAAATTTCAGCATTCTATTAAAACTATTAAAAAAAAACCTTTCAGATACTCAATATTCTGGAACATGTAAGAATGACTGATAGTATTTTCTTAAATATTTTAGTAGGAAAAGGCAGGGGAGCGAAGAAAAGGAAAGCGTCTGGTTCTGAAAATGAAGGTGAATATAACCCAGTGAAGAAATCATCCAAGTCAACAACAAATAAGGTAATTTCTGTTAATTATTGTTAATGGTTACTGCTATCATTGCAGCAATATGAAATAATAATCTGCCTGGACAGCGTAATCTTAGTTTTGCAAGAGTGGGTGGGTGTTAGGAATGTGCATCAGAGCTAGGCTTGGGGGTCAAAACTGGCCAGAATCCATCCCTGTAGCCTTTGTGGACTTTCTCTTGTTCTTGTCCCATTTTTGCAAAGCAGCTGAGCAAAGAGGAAGTCTGTGAATACTGAGGGAGCAAAGGTGGTACGACCAGCAACCTCCTTCCATATCACGTGCGGCAGTGTTGCTGAGCATGGCATGGAAGAGGGATGCTGCTTGGGCCGTGGTCATGTGGGCCTCCATTCCTGGGGAGCCTGTGCAGACCACCTTTTTCCATGTGAGGCGCAGCAGTAGAAACAGGCTGCTGCATCTGCATGGAGAAGGAAGGTGCTTGTGCATGTGGGGACTGATTTCTGTCAAGTGGCCTGCAAACACTGGGCATACTCACCAGAGGGCACCAGACACAGGGCTATGACAAAGTAGCGCAGACTCCGGGGAGTTGAGCCCCAGGAATTTCTCAAATCAAAGTTATTCAAAATTCAAGTTTGGCGAAACTCTCTGAATTCCATCTGCAATTTCTTTGATTCAGCTACCTATCAAATTATAAGATTTTTTTTTCATTTTACATGGGCATTCGTGTGTTGTGTGCATCTTTGAACTCCAGTTGTGTGCATCTTTGAACTATATACATTCTTCCATTGACTAACTGAATTTGTGCATTGTTCAAAGCTGTATTTTCAAATGTACACATGCTATCAAATGTATTATTTTGGTTTGTGAATTACAGTCTGCACTTGGAAATATACAGATTTTGACCAGATTGTGTCAGCATTCAGTCCAGAAGCTGTGAATTGGGTAAATTCTGACTTAGAATGAACTGAATTTCTCATACATCCCTAGAGTTAGGGTTAAGTGCAGTGTAGTAGTTTTAAATAGGCATTTTTAAAAATTACTTGGGCTTTTATAAAACAGATAAAGCAATTCTAAAATAAAATTGTGCATGTGCCATTTTTGTTATCAAAAACTTTTTTAAAAATCTTTAAAAACAGAAGCTGAAGAAGGCCTCCTTTGACCAGGACTCGGATGTAGACATCTTCCCATCAGACTTTACCTCTGAGACAGCCTCCAGGCCACGAACTGGTCGGGCTAGAAAAGAAGTAAAATATTTTGCAGAATCTGATGAAGATGATGACTTTGCTATGTTTAATTAAGTGCCCAACGAGCACACAAAGTTCCAACAAATATCTTATGTTGTCCTTTTGTCCCTTTCTGTCGCAAACTTTTTGTACATTTGACTTATTTTATGTGATGATGTAAGTGATGGTTTTTATTATTGTGTGTAGGCATTTTAACATTTTGTTCTTACACCTACAGTTTTATGCTCTTTTTTACTCATGAAATGTCATGTATTTGTCTGACCGGCTTGTAGAAATGTTCTAGAAAGCTGTGCAAAAGCACACATTTTAACTGTCATGGTTGCAAACTGCAAACCTGCTTTTTGAAATGAAGTTTAAACATTAAAAAAGTACAAAACAATGTCATTGTGTGTGGAGGCTTAGACTTAAAAACTTTTTTTACACATGGTTAAAATAAATATATTTTATTCTTTGCCAGGAGATTCCATGGAAAAAGGTAAACAGTATATGAACATAGAAAGCATTGTTAAACAATCTCAATGTACAAAGAGCCAGTGAAAGTACATCACAGACTTGCTAGAATATATAAAAAAAACCACTAGTGCTTTTAAATGAAACCTAAGAAACTGACACTTTTAAAAAAATTGTAACCACTCTACCACATTTTTCACTCTGTTTTATGTTGATTAACAAAGCCATAGAGGCAGATTCTCTCCTCTGCTTTTGGATATTCTAGTGACAGCCCCTTGGTGTCAGAGAGGAGGATTGTGGGGCCGGGACAGTTTCTCAAGATTTGTTTTTCACTAGTGTCACCAATTCAGAGGTAGTGAGTATGCCTGGTCATTATCCTATGAAGTTTCCTAAACTCTGTGAACAAGTAAACAAAAAAACATTGTAACGCTGGAAAGTGTTTCTGCCTTGAAGGCTATAATTGAAGTAAAAATTTAGTATTTCTAAATGGAGAGAATCAACCAAGTAATAAACCCATTTGTAAGTTTTAAAGTGACATCAATAGTGGAACAAATTACATCCAACTAACTGATCTGGCAGTTACACTTACACAGAAGTTTTTCTGCTAGTGCAGTGAATTTCTTTGTATCTTTTTCTGCTGGGGGAAAAAAGGGAAATACAAACTCAGGCCATAAAAAAGAGCAATGACACAATTTTGTCCTAACTAATTAGAATGTCTCTTTCAGAACTTTATCTGGACATGTAAGTAGTCCATTTTATAGGTCTGATGTCTGTATCATTTCATGTATGCAAGAAAAAAAAAAGGAAAGCACTGAACATCCAGTATAGAAAGTACAGGCCCATATATTTGTATGTACAAATTCATCTGAAATGGTATAACCATAATTTTAACCTCTGCCTTGAGATCTACCTTCTCACCTTGCAGTCTTGGACATTCAGAGGAAATAACTGAGGCTTAACTAGTTTCTCATTTCATAAAGTAGCTGATTTATCATTTCAAAAGTTTATGCAGGTTTCTAAGCTGCAAGGCATCTGTCTCTCTGTGTGAACATGTATGTGTGTGCATATAAATACACAAGCACATGTACATGTATATCCATATGAACAGTTCTTGGTCCTGGTTGGATTTCAGTGTAGGTGTATTTGTATCAGTCCAGAAAATAATCAGCCGTAAAGACAATTCTTGCATCTCATCCTTGTATATAAAGTGTTAAGGACATAGTTGGATAATGTCTTATTGCATCAGTGGGGATTGGCTGACACTGCTGTTATCCACTGAGCTTGGGGAGATGCTAGGACTGTGTTCTGCTGTAGTCCCAGTTGAGCTTGGTGTCAGTGGTTCATGTCCTTCAGAATTCTCCAACATTTCCTGGATAAGAGGTGGCATAGATCCAGGAATTTCCATTTTCAGTGTAATAACACGTTCAGCACCTTTAAAGAGACCAATAGAAACGGGAATTTAATACTTTTTAAATTTGTCCAGTACGGCTTTCTTGAGGTAAGAAAATCATCTATGAGAAAAAAACAGAACCCAGAAAATACATTCTCTTGGCCTGGAGTAGCTCTGGATCTGGCTAGAAGGATAAAAAAGTAGCAATGTTTATCCCACAGGGACCTCCTCCTGTCCAGCCACAGCTGTCAATCAGCACCTACTTGCTACAACAGGACAGGCTTTTTAAAGAGTGCAATCATGAGACAGTTACTGTGTTGGTAATTTTAAAGCTGAAAATTTGGTAATTTTGGAAGCACGTCTTCTATATCCTTCAGACATACATTAAGTTGGGTTACTGTACCCCTTGCTTCTCTGGACATCCAAAAGGTAATATTGGGCTGACTACAAGTGAGCCAGGCCCTAAGTGTAGGCATTATTTATCTTAATTCTACTCTACAATACAGCACTATGTCTGTTAATAGTCCCACTACATGAAATGGCTCATGCTCCCAGGTAAGTAGCACTGCAGCCTAAATCTGCAAAAATTAAAGCTGTATACACATAATGTGGTCATGCCAAGTGTTTGCTGTGTACTTTATTGAAAGGAAGTAAGCACAGGCATAAAATTGTAAGAAGGGAAGTCATATCCTTTACTACTTAAGCTATTTCTTTGTTTTCAGTGCTTGAAGCCAGACAATAATGGAGAATTCAGCTAAAGATCAGTCACAGAGCAATCCAAGGTTGGCAGTGGAAGAATTTTGTCACTGAAGAAGCCAGTGATTCTTACGTTTTGTTTCTTTTCATAGAGCTGTCAGCAAATGCCAAAGTTAGCAACACAGACAAAATTTCCCGTTGAGTAGACAATGGTGTGAGGGACCTGTAATACTCTGAACACAATCCAATATGGAGTTAGGAGTGCTTAAGCTGATTAAGCACTTGGTTGCTATAATATTTGGGTAAACGGGACTGCTGTTCAAATAATACCATACAAAACATTAAAAGTAGCTTAACTATAGTGAAATGATTACTGGTGCAGAACTATCTGTACAGTTAATTGGGAAGTAGGAACTTTGCACACAGCGTTTTTGAGTATACAGTTATGGCATCCTCTAAGGAGCTGCTATAGAAGATCAAGAGCCCATAAGAGAAGATGAAACCCACGGTGACACACTGCAGGCACACTGAACAGTTACTGTGGGTTTGGCAAATACTACTCTCTAGTAGTAGCCTATGGCAAATTTCTCAAACTGGTGAAACGCTTAAGGTGACTTCTATATTAACGAGAGACCGACCCCTGCAAACTGGCAGGCATTCCCTATTACACAGCACACAGCTGGACCACTGGCACACGTTAGAATTACTTCCCTTGTAATAAAGCAAAATAATATATGAAGCCTGAAAAAAACATGTTAGCATGAAAATACAAACTGTTAGCCCTGTGTACTTATGTGGAACTCAATGTGATCAAACAATACCATATCTGAACAAATCAAGAATAATTTTTAAGTGCTATAGAGAACTCAACAAGGGTAACAGGACACTGGCGCTGAGATCTCTGAAACAGATTAGCTTTGGAAATGAAGGTACTTACTGGTTGTGGCTTAAGCATTCTTGTCAAGCAAGTGTGAACACTCAGCATTTATTGAGGGCATATGAGAGGGAACAATATTTGCTACAGCTAAGGCATGCCAGGGTCTATAATAGCCCTCCATCCCTGGGGAACTATTACACTGTTATGTGCTGAATAGTGTGTTTGCTTAGCTGCACACTGGTAATTTAGGCAAGACTGGAGTGTTAGCAAATAAAGAATTGGAAATAATGGTAGATCAGAATCAAGTGGAAAGTTATTTTTAAGATAGTGTGTCTATGTTTAAAGGGACTTATTTGGGATATGTATTCCCAGGGATATATGCATATTTCTATTTGTATATCTACTTTGCACTAAAAATATGACAAATACATCAGTGCCTGAACTGCAAAGCAAAACAGTGTATTCATGGGTAGGTCAAGGGACTTAATTGTTGCGTATAGGAGCCAAAGGACAACTCTACGGAGGTTAGACTGGGGAATTAAACTTGGCATCAACTTTTTCCTACTTATGAAGAATTCTAACATTGAGTTCTCAGCCCTTCATTATTTCAAGCATATATGATTCCCTTCTATTTGTTCTTGTCAGAACACACACAGAAATAGAAACACACAGGGTATAGTGGAGGTGCAGCTTACCTTTTGCACTGATACTGCGTAGATCTGTGATTTTCATTAAGATCTTTGGAAACATATGAGGTTTGTTGGGTCTTCTCTTTCTGATGTATATTTTGAGAGCTTCAAGCAATGGCTCCTGTAGTTCATCTACTTTTGATGGTTCTTCAAGGTCCTGGCGATCTGTACAAAGTACACAAACAATGAGAGTGCTTTAAGAAGGTGTGTGTTAGCCAGAACCTTCACATTTTCGAGACCAAATGCATCTTTCTCCTTAGTCTAATCCCAACTTTTTTCCAAGTTCATAATAATGGTATACTGTAAGCTTGTGCCACTTAGTAAGCTGACAAGGTTGCAATGCTTTGTCCAATTAAAGAGAATTTATTTAACAGACCAAGCGCAAAGCATTACTTAGACAATTTTATTTGCAAAATAATAACCAAATAATCCTTAGATCTTTGAGCAACAGTATTGCCTTCATATGCCAGCAGGTGTCAGCAAAACATTAAAATAAAACAGGCTGTTCTAATTTTGTAGTCTCTGTATGAGACAGACTTTGAAACATGTAATTATTTCCTGTTTAATACATCTGTTATCTATCCCTAAAATAATAAGTGGCGTGACAATCTCATGTTGTTCAAACCAAACTTCTGTACAAATGTTGACTAAAGAATTTTTACAATAAAATTACAGCTATTATCAATTTTTTAAAATGATCTGTAGCTATTAGGAATAATTTTATAATCCCAGTCCAGAAATAGATTTCTAAATTAAAATAATGAACTTTTGCCCAGAATTTAGCATTGTTTGGGTGGCAAAACTTGCTGCTTGCTTTTCACTAGCAATAGTAAATCAGCAGAGCTCAGTCTGGGCATGGTAAATCATACATAGAGATACTTCTGGGAAAATGTCCCTTTACTGTTGAGCACTATTTCCCCCCAGTATGTGGTGGATGTATCAGAAAACAAAATGGCAGCTTGCACCTAATGGCCATTAAGAAAGGACAACATGATCATGAGTAATTTGGCTCATGCTCCAATTCTAAATTAACTGAAATGTGTTTGCCCATGTAATATTTTCAAATTTTCCATTTCATAACTGCAAGCCCATACATTCATGTCTAGTTTTGCAAGCAAGCAGTTCCATCCATTCTCATTGATTTCTAATGACTGATTGTGTCATCTTGGAGATTATTAATGCCTCCAAGAAAGAGGGCTGCCCCCTTAAAGAGGCAGCTAATGTTGCTGCAGAAATCAACTCTGACCCCAATGATCTATGACAATTATTGCAAAGTCAAACTTCTCTCAAAAGGCACTGGAGAAGGCAGTGGCCTCTAAATTGTCAATGGCAACAGAGGATACTGATTATGTTGATGTATAATCTAATAAATACAATTTTATAATCTAATTTATATAGATTATCTATTCCAGCCTGTTTTTGAAACAGAAACAGGCTGGTGGATAACATATCATGAAAACAAGATGGGACCAGTAGGAATGCAACCCTCCAGGTTTTCCACTGCCAATATTATTCTTCTGGACTGCATTGCTGCATTGGGTCAGGGGAACATGATGCTGCATTTTCTCCCCATGCTACGCCAACATCTAAGTAAAATCTCTGAGGAAGAAGTAGTCATCTGGAAACTTGGAGTAGGATGTAATCAATATGCAGATAACATGCAGCAATTTCTGCCTCTTCCATCTGCCCTAGTACTCCTGAACAAATGCTAGCAACAATTTTGAGATGAATGAACCAACCGAACTTAATCTAGCCAAGACATTAGCAAGTACTGCTCAGCAGGGGGGATATGACCAGTCTTATACTCTCATTAAAGACCACATCTGTGGCTTGGGGTTTCTTTTGGACTTTGCACTATACTCAAAAGTGCCATTTGGCAGCTTAGGATGGTACGTAACTATGATCCTGACTAGAAAAATTGTACCTTGCCACAGTTAAGCATGCAGGTTAGACTAATTTAACACAGACATGGTTCTGCCCTTGAAAACAGCCTGGGCACCTTTACTAGTGCACACCTAATTATTGGTGGAATTAAATAAGTTTATTTGTAAGGAGTGATGTGGTGCTCTATGTTTTCATGGAAACTTTTCCACACCTTCTATGCTTGTATTTATTCCATAGTTTTGTCTGAGCTATTGTTCTGCAATCTGCATGTTAGATGGGTTAACCATGGGCTAAGGTGAGCACTGACAAACCCTTGAGCTAAGTTGCCCACTGGGACACTGAACAATGAGCTATGGCAACCCTTTCCTGTGCAGGATGCAGCTGACTCCTGGCTGAATCTGAACCAGACCTATTCATGGCCTATTTGCCCTCTATTGCTATCATCCTTGCCCTGCTGAAGGAAAATGGAAGTAAGGATCATAATCACTGTTAAAATCATAAACAATTCTGAGCAGGTTCAGACCCGCTAACTAGTTTCCCATGGGATCCCACAAGCAGGATATGAGTTCAACAGCAACCTGTGGCCCATCTACTCACATCCATCTTTTAATGAACTAGAAAGCTCAACTACTTACTCTGAGTCAGATTTTTCTCAACTTGAAATAGAACTGATAAGCAGCGCAGGAAGCGAGTGAAGCTCCAGGTGTTGCTTCAGCAAAAGAAAATTCAGGTGTCGGCACATCAGCTTTCTGGGTATATACACTAAATATAATTTTACCAAATATTGCATATGAGAGAGACAGAGACCAAGACCATTTACATGGAAGTCTCTCTATTGGCTGCCAAGAGGTTTCCAGATGGACTGCAAGGTTTTAGTAATTACTTTTAATGGCTGAAGCCCAAAATACCTTCAGAAGTGTCCTTGCCTTTGTGGATAATCTTCTGAACTTTGTTTCTGAGAGATTAAATGTCGGCCACCCAGAAGACTTTCTCAGTGGTCACCCCTAAACTGAAACATTCTTCAGATATCCCATATTGCTACCTTCAAGAGAGAGTTAAAGACATATCTCTTCCAACCGCCCTTCCCACAGTTAGTTTTATTTAATAGGCTTGTTCTTAATCTAAATTTTTGTTTAAGTTGTTACAAACTGTCCAGAGCTTATGGGAATGGGGCAGTATATTTAAACCAAAACCAAAACAAGTACAGAAAGCAATATTCTTCAGAAGTAGTCATTTTATGTTAAATATAAACATATTTGTTTCATTTTTATACTTCCCAAAAGCTGAGGCTCTCTCAGAAAGTATATGCTAATGTAAGTATATACTAAGTATGTGCTAACATTAGGAAGTATATGCTACTGCCTTTACATTTTACTCATATTCCAATAAAATAATGTCCCCATAAAGCTATGAATATGTTTGAATATAACATTTCAACAATACTGTTGAATTTAATGTTAATTTAATTTCCCCTCTAAGCAAATATTTCAGTTCAAATATGTTGTAGCTATTGGTAAAAAAATGGAAATATTTATACTGCACATAAAATGGATATGGTTTACACTCTAAGTTCTGTTAAAATCTATGATATTTTGTGTGAGGAAATGTGTGTGCTGGGAAGTAAAAATGAGTTAAACAGGCTAAATCAGATAACATTTAGAACACTGGGAATTTTTCCCATTTGACTTTTTTGGAAAATCCCCATCACTCTTTTGAAATAACACCTAAAGAGGTCAATCAAAATTATGTAGAACATGAACATTTGTTTTGGATTGTAGCCCTGGCATGTCTTTAGGTTTAGACATGGCAAGGATAACTAACATTTAAAACTGTTTGTCTTTAATATGAATTAGAATATGGATTCATCAATATCCATCACAAACAGTGAGCCTATAAGAACACTGAAAAACGTGGCTGGACCAGGCCAAAGGTTCCCCACACAAGCTGTCCAGAAGCTAATGGGAAAGCCACAAGCAGAAAAGAAGGCAGCGGCTGCCCTGCTATTGTGCTCCAGCCAGCAGCATTCAACACCTAGCAGGAAGATATAGCCATTGAGACTATAGGGGTGGTCTCAATGTTTCATTACATGGACATATGAGCATAGATTGTTCCTTTGCTCTCTCGTGCAGTTATTCACACATAGCATTCAATATGAGTGTGCATCCTATACACAGATTTCACTCCTACATTATTCACTTATAGTAGATGAGCTCTTCTATGGTTGATAGTGATAATTCTATAAGCTTTTGTCTGTCTAAGGGCATTCCTTCTAGAAAAACATGTGACAATAATTAATTCTTTAATTGCTGTTGTCGTGCCCGCACTTCTTAGGACACAATCCTATGCCCACTGGACAGAATCTAGAAGGTCACAGGAAAATTCAGAATTTTTGTTCTGACCTCAGAAAAGAACAGAACTTTGGAGCACTGTCCCTCCACCTCCACAGCTGGTGTGGAAAGAATTGCATTGGAAAGACTACCTTTGGAGCTGGTGTTTGGGGGATGTTCTAATGGACTGGGAAGGTAGGAGTGAGGCTTTATATAATACAATGTATCTTTATGGGTACTCAACCTCTCCTGCAGGCCATCAAAAGCTACAGACCTTTAGTCGTTCAGGCAAAGCATGGAGGTGATCTTCACCCTCAACAGCATGCCTGGAATCCTCAGACTGAAGGTCACAGGCAGCCACACTGGGTGCTAACCAATTGGGCTACAATGGTTTTGGGTTCTCGAGTATACTAGTTTTTAAAAAAATATATATGATATAGGCAGTGTTTCACTACACAAAAATAGATAAGTTCAAGGCAGCTTGCATAAGATTGTGTTCTCTGAAAAAGCTATTAGCTTAACCTAAACTATTATTAATATAAATTATCCTTACCTGCCAAAAACACTATGAAATTTTAAAACTGAATGAATATGTTAAAGAAAGTAAAATAAAATGGCTGACAATGATATATTTAATAAGGAGGTGGAAAGTGGACAGGAGGCCACAGTAATAATTCAGGTCTCTATAAAAGCAAAGCAAAACAAAAAGCAGGAAGGGATGGGATTTTAGAATTTTCCTATGGCGGCTCATCAGAGTCAAAAAGCCTTGTGCTTCAGGAAACATATAGTTGCACAAAGGGAACTTGTGTTCATCAGTTCACACACAAGCATGTCTATTTAAGTAAGATGCAGTTGGATATTTAGGGTTGGATCCAGCTTTAAGCTTCAGCAATGAGGCCGGTAGAAGCAGGTGCCCTTTCTTCTCCTTCCTAAGGTCCCCTAGAAATGCCACACCCTGCTGAATTAGGCATGTTGTGGTGTGTGTGGAGGAGGAGGGGGACCCCCCCCCAAAAAAAAAAACTGGACAGAGAGACTTGGCACAAACAAAGCCCTTGCTGCACAGTATGCTCCATTTTCTTGTGGAAAACAATTCCATCTCTGATTTGTACACTTGGATGAACAAAGATTCTAGTACCTGGGTACAAATCAGGTATGAATGCAGATAGGCAGATTCTCACAACTATCTGAACAAGTGTACATACAGTATGAACACATGTTCAGCACAAAATGTGAACACCCTTTAAAGCCATCTAAGGGCACTCTCCCATGTGGCTGCCCATATTCCTCCAAATGGTGAAGCTTATAGGCCTCAGTCACAAGAGTGAAGAGGCCAGCTGATTTTAGCTATCCATGCCTTCCTCTCTTCTCACAAGGAGGGGAGGTGAAGGCTCTGGCTGGATTCTGCACAGAATGGCAGTGCTGCTCCTTCCTGCCCCTCTTAGTGCCTGGTCTGAAGATATTCTGTCTTTGAGCTGCAGCTGAAGAAAGAACCGTGCCAGTTGGAAGAATCAAGACAGGGTCCTCAGAAGACGGGGTGTCTACTGCAACCTTGGGGGGGGGGGGGTTGTGAATAGGGGCCCTTGATTTCTCTATGACCAGCCAGCCAATGTCTGCTTGTGCCCTCAACTGGTGGAAGCCAATTCCATAGTTTAATTACATGCTGCAGTGTAGGGAAATACCACTTTAATATACAGCTTTGTTGGCTGACCATGGTTTCTAGTACTATGAGAAAAGGAGAAAAAAATTGTTCTATCCTCACCATGCATGATTGTGCACTCCTCTACCAAACCTCTCAATCATCACCCTTTTTTCTCATCTATATAATATAAATACTGTAATTTTCATTGTGGGAAGTAGCTCTAGCCCCCTGATAATTTTGGTTCCCCTTTTCTACTCCATAGATCAATTGGTTTATTCACTCCATTTCTATATTGCCAAGGTTCTTTGCCAGGTTTAAAAAACAACCCTAAAATACAACAGGATAAAATATAATATAGAGGCATTTATTTTATGATGCATTTAATAAATTAAACAAACATAAAACCTTTAAACCAATAAAACCAAAGTAAAAAATCAATGCAAAAGCCTTTCCCAGTTCTGCAATATTCTTTAAGGTGCAGGAAGCAAAACTGTACAGGCGTTCCAAATATGGTCATTTTGTGGAGTTATAGTTGATATTTGCAGTTTTATTTTTGATCACATCTTTTGTAATCCCAGTCACAGAAATTTGCCATTTTCACAGCCTCACACACCAAAAAGGCTTCACTGAATTATTCACCATGACCCCACACTCCTTTTCCTGGTCAGCCATCATCAGGTTCATCTACAGTGTCCTCTATTATTTCAGCTATTTGTGGATCACCCCTCCACACAAATAGGCTTGAGAGAATGTACAATAAAAATGCAAAAATTAGAATACATAAAAGGCCTTCCTCAAAGCCCCATCAGTGCTGAAGACTGTCTTGTTTATTCTGGCTTTCCCCTGATTAAGTTTCACCGGACTGTTCTCCTCTATAGCAGCAGTTATGCAGTAGGTTTTTAGTGAACTTTTATTGCTGCTGTTGGATTTTTTTATGTTTTCTGCTTTATCACTATATTTTTATTATATGAATTTTAATATTGTAAGCTGCCTTGGAAGGGCTTCTGCCCTGTGAGGTGGCCTAGAGATATTTTAAGTATACACATTAGATAAATAAAATATATGCATTTTATACCCCTTGAGCCCTGGGCATAGAAAGGACAATACATACAGTTTTTCAAAAGGACCATATTGCTGGCTTTTGGCCTAAGCAAATTCAGTAGAAATATTTTACTGGGAACAACTTTACACTTGAACAAACTAGTCAATCCTGAAGATACTGTACTTGCTTACCTTGACCACACTGTTCTGTGCCCATGTCAAAAGCCAAAGTCCTGGAAAATTTGGTGAAATGCAAACCTATTCTTCTCACTCCAGTTCCCAAGCCTACATGGCTCGCCCACATACCTCCACATATCAAGCAGATGGCACTGAGCAGGCCAGTTTCTGTGTCATCCATTTCCAACGGCAGGAGCTGATTGGCAAACGTGAAGACAAGGTCCGTCAAGGGACCAAAGCCAGCGTTATGCATCTGAGTTCGATTCAGTGTAAGGCCGTCAGAAAATGTCATTGTGTCTTGTTCCGGGGTGTATCTTGTGCAAATTCTAAGAATCTGGGGGAAATAGAAAGAACACTTATCTAGGCATTAAAAAATATTAACTTAGGAAGAGTGCAGGTATTTGCACTATCCTTTTCAGGATGTGGAGAGCCCTCTGGGCTACTAGGGTGGTATATAAAATGCAAATAATAAATTATATTCCAGTGACAAGTAAATTGGGCATATGCCTATGCAAGATCCATTATCTTTTTTTAACCCTTCGACAATCACTGACTACTAATTTGGTTTTCTCATGTGAGGCAAACAGCGTATTTTATGCTTGCTTCCATGTGAATAGCACACAACCAAACCCTAAAAGAACTATCCACAATGATAAGTCATAAGATGGGGACTGAGATGGAATTATCCCCATTTAATAGCAAAATAAAATAAATATATAAACCAGAATGCTCAATGAGCATATTAGCTGGCAATATTCCTGACCACATGCAGGTCGCTCCCATCTGGGCTTCTCTGTGTGTTCTCTCTCTCTCAATCCCTCTCTCTCTTTCTCAGTGCAGGCCACTGGCTTTGTTTTAAATATGTGAATAAAAGAAAGGAGGTTTCTAGAATTCAGCTCACCCAAGAGAAAGAAATGGTGATTTGTAAGGTAACTTTCAGTTCCTCACATACTTGGGAGATGATATTTGGTGGCTGGCCTAACCTCAGGGCTATCTCTGTTGCTTTAATCTTTGCCTGACAACAGATACCTGGCAAAGCCCAAGAAGAGTATTGAAGGGATTGTGGTTGCAGTTCTTTTTCTGATTGCTTTCCTTTTGAAAGAGCTGTTAAAATGTGTAAAATATTACACTCAGCAACAGTCCTATTCATCTTTGACTAATGTGTTTTTTCATTCACTAAGTTTAAATGTTTAGCCTGCAATGCTCTGCATACCTAAGTAAGTCTCACTGAAGTCTCACTGAACTATTTATTAGTAATATTTAAATATGACTTAATATTGTAAGATCCCCAAGCTGTACAGACAGACATATTAAAATGACATTTAAAAGACATTATTAAAACAATTATGAAATCAGTACAAAGCAATGTTTTGTTCTGAGTAGACAGGGGCTGGACTATAGCTCTCAGACTGACACATCTGAAGGATCCCCACATGGGGGACAAGACCGATCCTGGAGGAACTCTGTATGGGAGGAGACCAGGAGGCTGAGCAACATCACCCAAGCACAAGCTTCTGGAGCCAGCCAGCCAAGCTGGAGCAGCACTCCTGATTTCCCAAATCAGCTAGCCAACTCAGAAAGATACTCTGGTCGATGATACTGAAAGCTGCTGAGAGATTCAGGATTACCAACAGGGTGAGGCTTCCTCTGTTCTTTTCTGTATAATAGGTCATTATACAGAGTGACTAAAGCTGCTTCTGGGCCCAAACCTGGCCAGAAACTCACCTGAAACGGATCCAGAGAATGTCTCATCCAAGACTCCTAGAGCTGCTTGACTGCCACCCCTTTGAGAACCTTGCTCAAGAAGGGGATATTTGCCAGCACCATAAGATTATTGAGATATTTTTGGTCTGGAGATGGTTCTTCAGGAGTGGCCCTGTTTCAGGTGATATGGGACTACTCTTTCTCATAAAGAGGCATTAATTAGTAGCCCAGCCAACGGTTCCCTCCTTGCTGGGCTTGTATTAGTCAAGAGGGGCAGGGATCCAGTGTGGATGTGGTTGCACAAACCTGTCCAAGCACCTTGTCAAGATCCTTCAGCTGTACTAACTGGAACTCATCTGGGCTGTATTCTGGGTACTAAGCCTGATTCAACTGCTATAATACTGCAGTCTGAGTCCTGACAGATACCAGAGATTTTATCCTGGAACTGCCTAGCAAGTATATTGAAGCAGTCCTCAGAAAGCTTTAAGATGGATAAAGGGTCAGCAGTAGGAGGCTCTGGATGACTCTAGAGAGCTCTGCTGGGCTGCACAGAAAGGACTGAACAGAGGCAGGAAGATATTCTTTGCTGTCCTCACTGCCTCCAAATATATTTGACTACAGGCGTATCTCGGGGCTTGACTTCATTAACAAAGGGCTTTCCTCCATCAGTACCCAAGCTGTCTCCTGTTTTGTTTCATCACCTTCAGCTCCAGGGTAGACCACAGACCTATGCAAGCTCTACTACAGAGAGGGCACTCGTGTCAACTTCCTGCTCATCTCTGCATTCCAGAGACGGACCAGGGATTTGTCACTTGCTGAAGGGAAAAGTCTAGATCTCAGCAAACAATGATCTGACTATGACAAAGGGTCATATTTCCATGCCTTGCTGAAAAAACCATGCACAGAGTATGCTTGGATACACGCATTGGGCCAATGGCATGTTGCTAAAATCCCATGGTTGTCATGGAGTCCATGGCATGGATGCGAACATCACCCAGGACCAGCAACCTTGGGACCTCCCTATCACGCATTAGGCAACCTCTGTCAGCTCAGTGTTGGGTTGCAGGATGGACAATGCATCAGTAGAAGCTCTCATCTCTCCTGCTAGCCTAGGGCAAGGTACATATACTCCAGACTTAAGAGTCACATGGGGAGGGAGCATGGAGAGATTGGGGAAGGGAGGGGGAATGAGAAAGGACACACACACACACACATACAGAAAGACAGACAGTCTACTCCTAGAGTATGGCAAGTCCCTCCCCAGCCTTTCAAACTTCCCTGATGCTACACCAAGTGCCCCAGTAGGCAGAACCAGGAGCCACTAACCTCTCCCTGTTCAGCTCCCAGGTCTTGGTCACAAATGCCAGGTTGGGTTCCATTAAGTCATGGGTGAAGGAGGTCTTACTGTGCACTGATCTGCCATTTAAAAGCAGCATCTGGAAACTTGAGGGCGGGCTGATAGGCAACTACCAATACTGCAGGACTGGAAAACTGCACAGTAGTTAATTACCTGGGCCAGGTTCTCCTTACCTGGCTAGGTCTCCATTCAACATCGTATTTCCCTCTACCCATCACTACATTAATTTTAATACCCCTCCCCCTCCATCAGGACCTGGTGTTTGGTCCCTTAACTTCCTCCTGCTGCACATACGTAGGGCATGTGAAAAAGGAGTACGACCATCCCCAGGATTATTAAAGCAGACCAGCGAACAAGAAACAAAATTGGCTTCAGAGTTAGAAGGGTGGCAGTTGCATCTGCCTAAAATAGTGACTTCATTTGGTGTTGTTCTCTTGGCATCATCCCTGCGGAATCATTGCTACCACTTTGGGCCAGCAAATATAGGCTTGCCTCGTGTCTACTTCAGGTGGCAAATTTATTCAGTCAAGCAGGAAGGCCTCAGGGAGTTTCCTCCTTCTACCCAGCACTGGAGAGTCTGGAACTTCTCTCAGGCACAGCTCCAATCTAGTCCCCAGTGTTAGCCACAAGAGAAAGGATGACAAGAGAGGCAAGGTAGGAGAGGCTCAATCAGGTGGAAAAAAAGATGGTAAACTAGCATTCTTACCTTACCTGAGAATATCCAGATCCATCTGTTTATCTGCAGGTTTCAGAACTACCATGCTTTATACCTCTGAATTTACTGTGGTTTGGTGTGTTACTGTACACTTTACAGTAACACACCAGAACGGAAACAGTTCAGAGGTAGTAGATATATCATCACATAACTATTGGCATGGATTTCAACCAGCTCTGTCCGTTTCAAGTTGTTGATCACATTCACTTATGAATGTATACATTCAACATGCTGCCATATAAAACATGTAACAAGAAAAAGCACCACAGATATGGGGTCCAAATGAGAGAGCAGCAGTTCTGTGTTTACATGTGGAATTGCATCAGTCTTCTAAAGAGACAGGGCTGGATCCACAAGTATAAAGTGCAGCCTCACACATACACAACTTAATTTCTTTAGGTACTCTGTAATACTAAAGATGTTGCTGGATGCTAGAAAAACCCTTTGGCAGAGAAGTCATGGGGCAACTGAAGGAAGAAGCACCCATATATGTGTGATGCACAGAGACCACGACGGAGGAGGAAGGGTTTGGTGCCCCTTACCTGTGCACTCTTCTTTCTTTCTATATGATTAGGGATATGATCCTAAACACAAAACTGCTACTGTAATGATTACTTTGACCTTCACCCTTAGAACTAAACTAACTGTTAGCCTGGATACAAGCATACTTTTTTTTTAATCGCATTTGATGCATGAAGGAGGAAGCCACTGCTTGTTCTTGGCCTTACTGATTAATCAGGAGGAAGTTTTAATCTGTGATTAAAGCTTTACTTAATTAATCACACTGCTTAAAGCTTCCAGTCCTAGAAAATGTGGTATGAATAAATGCCATGATTTCTCTGCTGTTCTCACTCTTATTAAAATATTTGTTTTTTAAAGTGTTCATCTTTAGGCGTCTAATGCAAACAAAGTTTCATGACAATGGCTCACAATTGTACTTTTAAAGGTTAGCGGCTAAAGAGAATAGTCCAGGGTAATAGCCAAAATAGCAGTTTCAACTGCTGTCCGTTTCAGTCCATTCAGTGGTTCCTGGTGCAAAAGTTCTAACATGCTCAGACAGCTGAAAACTCTAAGTGCCTGACTGGATTCATACTGGAGGTCCATGCACTCAGCAGGATGATGACTGAATCAGCAAAAGTCTGCAGCCCTCAGGAGAAGTGGGTGCTCTCTCTGATGCCTTGGAGGCAGACTCTTCCTTGCTTTCTGAGAGTCTCTGAGAATCGACACAACAGGGAGGAGCCCCCATCCCCTCTTTCCAGCTCAAGCTGGAGAGAGAAAGCAGATTATTTCTCTGCAGGATGGGCTGAGGCATGACAAACACAATTTCTGGATGCTTACCAAGACTGCTCCTAATGTACAGAACCCTGGTAGGCAAGGATCACTTGATTCAAATAACTTGGCTTAAATGAAGAGAAGGCAAAGCTGCAGAGGCTTGAAAAACTCAATCTTAGTAAATTCCTAAATGTCTTGATCTTCATCTTTTGGACTAATGTGTGGATCTGAACTTAATTATCCAAGAAATATTGAGCTTGTCTGAATGTTACAATGAAGTTCTTGGTAGATTAAACATATTACTGTAAGGACTGGAATACGTGTTTTTGGAGAAAATACACAAATACTTATTTTGAGAGAATGGGATGAGATACCCATCTATACAGTCAAAAATGGGTGTCTAGCAAAAATGCAGAGCAGGGGGAGGGAGGAGATTGCTTCTGCTACTGTAAGACTCCCTGTTAAGGATCGTGGCTTTAGTCTTTTTGAAATCATTGGTTTTGCCTTCTCTTCACTCTACTCGATAGGGTGCATTTCCTCTTGACTGCACTTCAAAAATTTCTTATGGCACAGTAAAGACTATCAGACTATCTATTGTAGCATAAGCCTTTCTTCAGTTCATTTTTTGGGTTCACTGTAACATACTTGCATAGTTGATTTTTCCTTTAAAAAAAAAGCAATTTCAGCTCTCAAACTCTTCTTCCAATGACCTCAAGAAAATCCTATGTATAGGCTCAGTGTTCTTGATATCAGTCATAATCCAAACAAGGGATATGCATGCATGGGAGAAAGCGGCACATATTGCCAGACCGTGTTGCATGTTTTCACTGTTGTCACTTCCCCAGTGTCAGTCAGAAGCCACAGTAAGCTACAGTGGCCTTAGTTTCTCGTGGATCCTGACAAGTACTTTCATGGATTCTGACAAAATCAAAATATAAAATCTTTAATGCGGTCTCAGCTGGCTTTCTTTAATTTTACCTATGAACTTATATTGTTTTATACTGTGCTTATTTATTTATTATTGCGAGCCGCCCCCAAAGCTTTCTAAATAAATAAACTTATATTAAAAATTGTAGACTACTTTTCCGCCCAAGTATGATTTTTCAAAGTGGTAAACAAATACACAAAAAGGTAAATTTTACTTTAAACCAAATTCAAAAAGTCAAAATAAATGAAATACTTGAACATGAATGAAACCAACAGCAAACACAAGCAGCTTCTTAAAAACCAAACAAATAGGGTTGGGGGGAATTAATATTGAAATTGCAAAACCAATCATTGTGCAAATAACTGACAGAAGGACAGCTAAGATGGCATTAGCCCTTCTCTCTTGCCAGAGAGTTCCAGAGGGTAGGAGCTGCCACTCAGAATGCCTTCTTATATTGCTGCCGAAGTGTCGCCACCAGTGATGGTGGGGAAAAAAGAAAATAGTTCTTAAAAAATGAAAAAGCCTCTTTTAAATCTGAGATTTACATTACAAATGTACATTACATTTATACCTGTACATTACGAACAAGAGATCCTGCTAATGTTCCAACAAGACTTCAAAAATGCAAACCAACCATGAACCCAAGCCTTGACCAGTCCACACAACAAGCTTACTTTGTAGGCACAGCTGTACAAGGATGTAATAGACATATACTTTTATCAGAAGCATGTTTCATTTTCTACCCAGAAAACATCAACTCTGTCTATTGCTAATAAAATTATATCTATTCAAATTTGTCAGATGTACTTACAACTTAAGGATTTAAATTAGGCATTCTTCAAACTACAGTACCCACCTAATGAAGAGAAAAAAATAAACTGATAAGGCCAGACTGTTACCCAGGCAATTGGCTACAGGAGAGAGGCTATAGAGAAAACAAGGGAACACCACTTGTCATCACCCACAGTCCTCCATGTAAGCTACTCAGTAATCCATAGCCCATCCTAGTCAGAGACATCAGCCTTGGATGGAAGGCTTGTACTTGCTTACAGAGAGTCCAAAAGCAACCCAAAAACATTACTAGCAACAACAGACCACACAAATGCAAACGCTGCAACAAACCTAGATGTCAGAAACACTATTATGGAGCTAAATAATGACATTCACAACTCCCTCCCTCCCTCCCTCCCTAAATCACCTGCTTATCTTTCACTGTGGTATATGCCATCTTCAATGAACAATGCATTCCTGCATTCTGTATAGGGCAAACAGGTCAGTCTCCACAAAAATGAATACTCCAACACAAATTTGACCTCAGAAATGGCAGGGTTCAGAAAAGTTGTGGGAAAACACTCTCAGGACAAAACTGCAGTTCTTCAAGTGCACACTGTGAAACCAAGGGACTTCAAAGTTGAGGAGAGGGAGAAGTTGCTGAATTAGAATTCGTCAACAGGTTCCATTCTGCAGTATCTGACAGAGTGCCTCTCCCTAGCAGAATCTACCCAAACACTGCAATCAATACCTCAGGCTTTCCTCTGAGTGCCATCTTCATGAAGGGCTCAGAGGCTGACAAGGGAAGAGGGCCTTCACAGTGGTGGTCCCCTCTGATTATGGAATGAGGTCCCTTGGGGCCAATTTTGGTACCTGTTTAGCAGTGCATTAGGATGACCCACTATGCCAGAGAATCCAACAATATTTAATGGCTTGACAGGGGTATCCCGGTCAGGAGCTTTTCAAGTATTCTCTGTATCCAATATTGTTTTAGTTGTTAAATTGTTCTTACATTGCATTTTTAATTTTTTTTATATTTTGGAGATATTGTGTGTTATTGTATTATGGTCCTGCTTTAGGAACAGCTATAAATTGCACAACAACAATGACAACATATTAAGCATTTCTCAAACTGCCCTCTCTAACACAGTTCAGCTCCCTTCTCATAAATCCCAAGGTCTAACTGAACTCTGGTCTGCACTTGAATTCCAAAGAGAACAGAATGAAATATGCTTGAAACCACTTCATAGTTTACACATTTCAGGGTTAAGAAGACCACACTGAAAGACTACTTGCAACAGCAGGCATTCGATTGTCAATAAATAGCTCATTCTTGCAGAGAGACCACACACAAACATGAGAAAACAAGCCAAGATGTGGGAAAGGAAAAGGGACCATGAGAAGGGAATCTTGGAAGCTGCATGTTAGCCTTCACTTTTCCTTCTCCTTCTCTGCTGCACTCTCCTCCCACCCTGTCACCCAGACATCAAGTGTCATACAGGAGGGACTGTTCACAACAGCTTGTGAAAAAATGAGAAGAAAGAGGAGCTCATGTTATTCTCCTGAGGATTTTGCCCAACATTTTCTGGGTTAATGGGATTCCATGATTAATTCCATTACTGGGACTTTTTTAAAAAACAAACTCTAGCCTGAACCAAGCATTATTTATTCATGTCCAAATCTGCCACTCAATATCTCGACAGGACTCTCTAAGTGGCTAACAATATACAACAAACACTACAAATAAAGGGGAAAAGGGAAAGGAATCTGTTGGACTGGAGCAGGCACTTATAATCAGTTTTGGAATTAAAGTTTCATAAAATCTTTGCTTGGCACCGAAATGAAAGTAGAGAAGGCACCAGGCAAATTTCTTTAGGAAGCCCATTCCAAAGGTTGAGGTCAGCCACCAAGGAGACCCTCCTTCTAAATGTCATCCCTTTTGCTTCTTTTAGGGATAGCTCTCTCAGAAGGACCTCATTCCCAGATCTCAATGGGCAGGTAGGAGTATATTGGAAAAGGTGGTCCTTCAAGTAACCAGGTCCCAAACCGTTTAGGGCTTTGTATGTTAAAACAAGCACTTTAAATTGGGCCCAGGCTTCTACTGGCAACCCATGTTTGTTTGTTTGGAAAACTTATACAGAATAGGGAACATAATGCATACACTTAGAAGATGGAGGCACCCAATAAGGATATCCTGGGATAAGGAGTCATCCTTGGGTACCCAGAATCCTGTTCCACTCAGAAAAGTCAGCTTCATTCTTCCACTTTGCATTATGTACTTTATCCTAAAAATAGTTATTCATTTGCAAATCACATTTCATAGCACTTCTCTAAGGATAACAAGGCCAGATTTACCATACATCAAAATTCTGTATCAAGACAACACAATGCTCAGAAGAAAAAGTAAATTATGTTACCTGCATGAAGCCTGCAAATTGAACAGATTTTCATAGATTTACATAATTTAGCTTGCTTCTTCTAATCAAAGAGACACATGCAGCTATACAGAGAACTCTGATCCTATCCTCTGAGGAGCTGAAATCCTACTGGGCTTTTCTCCAAATCTAGAGATTATACTATACATTGTCTGAAATTTGGCCATTAAGACGGTAGCTGAGTCAGAATCACGCATCTTGAGGATTTCATATGCACTTATGAGTCCATATGATTGTGCTTTCATTCATGCAATATTATAGGAACTCACTCTGAATTAAATGACTACTGCCACAGATGGGGCTTCAAAGTGGATTATGCCTGCAGCCACTCTGCCAGAAGTATCAATCACAAACAGTTCACAGTTTTTGTACAACATTTATAAAAAGTAAAATAAAAACAAATTTTGCAAAAGAGAAACATACATACCAAGATGTCCAAGCAAGCTGCTTTAAGTAGTGTGATCTGGTCTGCAATTGTCAAACTTGTGAAACCAGGCAATCGTTTTGCAAATTCCACTATTTTAATAATGCACTTTGTAGCCAGTTCACTGAATTTGTCCCAAAGCCCAAGGTCCAGTCGAACTCTGTGGTCTGCACTAGAGTTCTAGAAAGAACAGAATGGATAATAAATCAACCAAATTCTGTGGCAGAATGTAGCTGAATCCACAAATAGTAATAAATGTTGGGGAAGACCTTCCAGAAGCATTTTTTATTAACAGTTTCAACTTCAGTAAGATTTGCTGCTGGAATGTTTTTGTTCTCAAGTTCATCTAGCCTTCCAAACATTCCTTGCATGCTTTTCTCTTGCTTATGATTAAAGGCGCCATCTGTACATGGGTAAAAATGAATGTCAGCATTTCTAAACACCAGTGACAACTTCTTTGCCTTCGGTGATACAATGCCTATATTGAGAAACATCCTCTTTGCACTCACAAGTCAAGAATTAAAACAAGAAGAACTGGAATATTAGCTTCCATGTCTGGTAAAAGGAGTCTTGTACTGTGGAGCAGTTTCCACACAACACAAACCATAATATAATTGACTGACAAACTTAGAATACATTGGCTTACCCTCCACACCTAGCTTGGCAAGAATTTTGCACCTCTGTTTAAAAGCAATGTTATGATCAGGACATGGGTCATCTGCTATGCAGTGCCAAAATTAGGTGTGAGATCACCTCCACACACATGCACATGATTGAATCCAGGAGTTGCCATCCTTGAGATCAAGTTCTTCCACCTGATTTTGGGAATTGCCTTTTTTTCTCTTCCCATCATACCTCATTCCATTCAGCAGGGTCTCCAGACTCTCTGTGTAGCATTTTTAAGAAACTGGAGGTGCTGCTGCGGTGAGACAGGGGAGGGGATGTCCACGTCTGTCAGTACAACTGGTCCAATTTACTCTTGATATCTCTCTTAGCACTAGAGAATGATCACTTCATCTCAAGATACAAAGTTCATCAGTTACAAAGCACCTGTTCACCAAAACAAGGTGCATTCTGACATTTAATTAATACCTGACCTTTAATTGATTACTTATTTAATTAACAATTATGGAACACTATTTTGTATAACACATCTCATCCAGTCTAGATTCAAATTATGCAAAAGTAAGGCACATTTCTTCCAGCAATCCCTGCTCAGTCTCTAATAAGGGATACAATGGTTTTTTGATGTTTCTGCCACTTTATATTACTTTCACGTATGAAACTGAAAAAATGAATAGCTCCTAAAATCCCCCCACTGTACTGCAAATTTTATTTATTTTGTGGGTTTTCCCAATCACTGTGGATGTACAATAAACTGAAATTGTTTTGAAGGAAGAAGACTGAATACGGAAATGAACCTTCAGTGTACAGCAAACCCTAAGGAAATGTGTTGAAGAGGAAAGCGTGCATAAAGACCCAGCAACTGTGGGCAATGTAGAAGAGCAGTGAGAGGACCTCTCATCAGGCTGCCAATATGCTGAGCAGTCAACATACTGAACAATTATAAATATTGCAAGAGTTGCTGCTGGATCCAAACTCAGGAAATCTAGAATGGACCTGGATGAAGATTAACTAGGCCTGGCACAGATGTGTGGCAGAAACAATTATCTGAAAGAAGGAAAAAAGGCATCACTCTTGGGATTGGGATAACTGGAAATGAGGAAGAAAAATGTAAATTTCTGTCACACAGCAGAGGCAAATACGAACTATCATGGCAAAGGAGAATAGTTTCAAAAGCAGGGAGTGGAGTAATGCACACATTTTCTCTCAAGAGTCAAATCTGCATCAATTTTGTGAGAAACCCTAAGCACTGTAGGACATGTGTAGGAAGTGCAAATAATTTGCTTGGGTCAAATTGCACTGGCAGGCAAATGGAAACAGTCATGGAAACATTTCCTTCGGAAGGCACAATACTTTGGGAATGTTTCCTACATATGCTGTCTTGAGATGAATTCCAACACTGAAATTTTTCTGGTGGACTGTGTTCTAGACATACTGGGGTTAACAGTCTCTGTTTTGCTCATTGAAACATTTTCTGTTCTTCTCAGTGAGTGCACACCCCTATGATTTATATCATTCTCAAGGACCTTGGCAGAATACTGTGTGGGTGAGGGTGGGGAATATGTGCAGTCATTCAGGTTGTAATTAAATTTAATAGGCAGTTTATCCAGGCCCACAGAAAAATGGCAGTGCACAGGGCTGCACAAAGCAGAGCCTAGAGCAGGAAATCATTCTACAATGGAGTATCCATCTGGAAAGAAGACACTGCATGAAACCAGTTAGTATGAACAAAATCTTGACTAGGGTCTTATGAGTTCGCTTAATCATACTCCCTGCCACCTGCGCAAAGAGAAGTTCAACATGGCTGCTTTGGAGCCCATGCCCGGCAGCCTTAAGAAAAGGCAAACCTAATCTGAGTATTATGCAAACTGAAGAGAAGAGAGAGTTAATAAAGCACAGAGTTAACCTGTTGTTTTATTGCACTGCTTGCTACATCTATAGAGACTCAATGAAAATGGTTATGAGAACTGCATACAACAAGAAAGCATTTTATACTGTATTTGGTAATGAACTGTTAAAGGTACTGCTGGAAACAAGCACATTTTCAGCCATTTCCCTCGATATGGACAAATAAAGTTGAGTTATCATTGACATGCGGGCCAAAATATGAAATATGGGCTTAATATAAAAGGGTAGGTTAGAAGTGGGAACTCCAGGATTCACTTTCCCTGGATTCTGAAAGGTATCAAACTGGAGGAGTTTAGCTGAATGTTTTACTATGGCATAATTTCTCAGTGCCTTTTCTAAGAGCATTCAGGCATGAAGCTTAAGGACCATGTTACCCATTATGCTGCAGTAGAATACATATGGTGGAATACTACTATAAGGCACCCTAGTGACATTTTTATCAGCCAAAAAGCCCAACTGTGCTGTAAAATCCAATTACAAAGCCATTTTTAAATTTTATTTATTTTTATTTTTCATCTAAATTGATCCCCTTTGGTTCTTTGTTGCAATCTGCTGCATCTCTTACTAAGAATACTGAATAAGATATTCATGGAACAACTGACAGAGTAAAATAATACTTTTTTTGTCTTTGAATTTTACTTTATCCACTCAACAAGATTTCTAAGCATTTGTTGCTTAAGAAAGAGCCACACAACTTGTAATCCTTGAAGTTGAATGGAGCTGTGAATGGAGCTGTCAAGCTGTGAACTGAAGTCTACCAAGGGCTCAGCAACCCTGTTTTCCAGCCTGCCTTGGACTACAAAGTAGAAATTATCCATCACCACAAAGTAGACTCCTGGGCTGGTTGGTGGGGTAATGTAGCTTGGAAGAACACAAGGTGTGCAGGTCTGGCTTAGGAGTCTGGTGTTTCCTTCTTTGCAAAAGCAACAATGTTATCTTCTAGTTAACATTAACCAAAACATTGAGGACATATGCCTACACTGGATTTGTCAGAAACCCCAGCCACTAGATACAACCCAATATAATGATAGGTCTGTTCAAGTCCAAGTCAACAGTTGTGTCTCTTATTTAATACCATTAATTAAGTTACACTTTGTTGCGCTCCTGGCAAGACATTTCAGCTGTAACACAGTAATAAAATAGGTAAAAATGGTTCAAGCTTGCTAAGTTCACTTTGAACAACATGTTTATAATTCCACTGCTCAGACAAATGCTTCAGCGACTTGAAATTTTAAATTGTTCAGTTGTTATTACATTGCATTTATATATTATGGAAGGCTTTAAAATAATATTTTAATAACTGTTTATGTCTTCATAACTCTGCTTTTACTTGGCTTTACAATTCCTGTTGTTCTCCTAATATGCTCTCTTTGTTCAATCTGGTTTTTTGTTTGTTTGTTTTGTCATTACAATTGTTAGCTTTTTGGCACTGAGAACAGCAGGGTATAAACTTTTGTACACCACTCAATAAACAAACACAAATAACACCGTACCAAACTCTTGCTATGAGTTTAAGACAATGAGGACATAAAATAATGTCTGAAAGTATTTGAATAAATATATTTATATAGATTTATAACTATGCCTAGCTATGTAAAGCTTGACAACTGGATACAAGTTCAGGCACTGAAGCAACTGGATAATATATCCCACAATATAGCAGGCTATTACATATTTAGTCTAATAGGATGAGTCCTGGAATATAGGCAGTCCCCGGGTTATGAACAACTTCCATTCCTGAGAAAACAGAAATTTGTCTTTAAGTCAAATCTGTATCTAAGTCAGATCACATACAGCCAACTCTCCCTATTCGCAGGGGTTTGGAATGCAGGACCCCCATAAAAGTGGAAAAACTGTGAATATTTCTAAGCCCCCTCCTCCACCCAAACTCACCAGTACCTTCTCTTTGCAGCAAGGAAATGACAGAGGAATTTCCCTCTCTGGATGGGTCGGGCAGGAAAGCACACTTTGAAGGCATGCCTCTCTACCCCTTCACTTCATCTCTCTCTATGGTAATGCCTTGGAGGCCCTCCCTCTCTATGGTAGTAATGATTTTCTGCTATAATTTTAAAAAATTAATAGTCTTTTATGGCAGTTCATTCCTAACTACAGATTGTTCATTAACTTGGATGTTGGCAACTTGGGACTGTCTGTACGTGACTACCCCATCAGGAAGTTGGCTATTTATCAATCACCCTGTGAACACTGAATAATGTATTAAGGCTTCAATAATATACATGCTGAAATGAACTCACATACTAGACTTACTTCCCACCAGCAGACATGTAAAGCTCATCATTTCACTCTTTTAATCATCTTTTTTGCACTTTCAGAATTGTCTTCAAAGGGGAAACATGCTCATTCTCCATGCTCAAACATGCTCTTTGGGGAGAGGCATGTACTCACAACATTATAACTCTATGCATGAGTTTAGCTGCAGACTAGTAGAACTTAGCAGGGGACATGAGTCTGCATGTAAGGCAAAGCCCCAATGTCTCTATGAGCTTAGCTGCCTTCTAGATCTTCCTGTATTTGCAGTGAAGATGCAGAATGAGTTCTGTAAGTGGATACAATGGAACATGTTTACAGAGATCTGGAAATTGGAAATCCTGCCTTATCAGTGTCCCTAGTTGCACAAAAAGTCCAAGAGCATTCAGCTGAACATGCTTGCAGTGCACTTTGCTAATCTTTATACATTCAACTTTTGTGCATGCATGAAAACACCTGCCTTGGACTTTCCAGTATCTCCTGTACTTTTCCTTTTGCTCTTACTTGGAAAAATATACTGTTAGATTCTGTCTACCCCTCCACTATGTGTGTCTTGTATCCACAAGAGAAATATATGTAAGATTCTGCTATTGTCATTGCATTGCAGCAAATTCAGAGTTTGTTTCATTAACCTCATCTTTAGCCCATTGGCCTTGCTTTCTCTAGCTTTCATTATGAAACTACTTTACCTAAATCCTTTTGGCTAATCTTTCAAGAAGGTTTTGATTTAAAGGTATCCTGCTTTACTGCATGGAATTGTACTAAGGAATTCCAGGTCCCATCCAGATTAACTAAATTCCCTTTCTCAAAACCTCATTATACATCTCCAAACATATTACTCAAATAGCTCTTACCGTAGTGTATTTGCCCAGTTGGCAGAGTGAAGGAAATGTTTCCTGGTGAGATTTTCTGATTTTTTCTGTGAGATCATCCAACTCTGCTGTCATTTCATAGTTCTCCATAAACTCCTGCTTTAAAGGCTCCTTCTTCTTTTTGTTCCTGTCATTTCTAACAGCTGAAGGCAAGAAGGGAGGCAGTTCAGATATGGTTATTTAGAGTAACCTACACTAAATTCAATAGTTTTTGATTACAGCAATAAACATTAAGCAAGTCAAACATACGGAGAACACAGGGAGGAAATTAGTAATTTTGTTCAATAGCCATTAACAAAATTTGAACACATGGGATTAATTGAGGCTACAAATCTCTTTGCAAGTAGCAAAAGGAACTGTACAAGATCAGAGACTTTCTAGAGGCGCATTTTGGGTAACTATTCATTAACATTAGAATGCATCATACTTAGACAAACCCATGGAAAAATTTGCTCACAAATTCTTGTAAGCATAGAAAGTTGTCTTTATACCAAGACAGATCATTGGCCTTTATCATGCCATGGTTATCTACACAGCCAATAAGCAACTGCTCTGGGCTTCTGAGAGGGGCCTTTCCCAGCCCTATCTGAAAATGCTGGGGACTGAAGTGGGTACCTTTTGCATGTAATGTACATGTTCTGCCAGTGAGTTACAGCATTTTCCCATCCACAAATAATAGGCATAAAAAACATTCCTTATTGGTAATCTTCAACAAACCCACTAGGTGGTGGGATGAGCTGGTCTTTGATTCTGGCAAGCAAGAATACTCAATGAGAAAAGCTGCATTACAGCAACTAAACTGAGCTGTAAGAAAAACCTGGAGCAGATACATGGTCATCTGTTCTCTAGTTTTGGATGGCATAATCAAGGGTCTCCCCCTCCTTTCTTATAGAATACTGATTGCTGGCTCAAGGCAGGAACAGGCATGGCCACACCATTTTCAATTTCTCCCTGGTGCTGTTCACTCATTTCTCCGATTCTCCAAGTGCAACAGAGGCGCTTATGCTCGCCTCCCATAATGCTACCTTTCTCCTGGAACTATTAGCAACAGCTAATATATTAACCTATGAATGAATGATGCTAATGAATAATGCTCCACTGTTTCCCTCCAAAAAGAGGAGTCATTCAACAGTTTTTAAAATATATTAAGAAGCAATACTTAATAATAAAAAATTAAGGGTGCAAAAAGTCCAGTAACTTCAAGAATGCAGAATTTTCTGTCTAAACATGGAAAGGGCTGCATCCTAAAACCCTTTTATAATAGGTAAAAGCAGCAGCAAAGTCAAAAACGCAAAGAAGCCACACCAGCAGACCAGTAGAGGCAGTATCCCCTAGAAAGCCCCTTCACACATTGCCATCACAGGTACCCACACAAGAGGGGCTCAACAGTTGATCTTAAGGGATGGGAATTCCCACATGGGAGATGATGGTCCTTAAAAATAGCTAGTTCACAACCCAATTGTGGCCTTTAAAAGTGAAACCCAACATCTTGAATTGTCTTCAGAAATGAACCGGGCCTTCAGCCAGTGCAACTAATGCAATGCAGGAATAATTTGATCCCAGTGCTTTACTCCTGTCCTAATGTTAGCAGCATCATTTTGCACTGCTGAAATTTTAAAGTGCTTTCCAGAGAAAGCCCCGTGTAAAATGTACACTGTTGTCTGATCAAGATGTAACTGTTGCATGCAGGAAGAAGGGCCAGGTCTCAAGATTAGGCTGGGGAAAGACAGTTTAAAGGGAATGCAACCCCACCCAGACCAAGCCAATATTCCTTCTAAATGCTTCCCCATAAACTAACTCCACTCCTAATACAGGTAGATATATTTTAAAGAACAAAAGAACAGAAAGCTTTGCTTGTAAATTAACTGAATGACTGAATGAAAAAAGACAAAGCACCATTTCAAATCTCCTTTACCTCCTTCAATTAGTGACTGCCACTTTCCCCTCTACACCTCTACTTCTGAGGCATAAATATCCTTGCACTTACCACAATACATCTTTGGCCCTGCCTATGGAAACCTTTCATGCTGTAAACCATTTGTACTTTAAGTAGTCTCCCCTCCTGGAAATTGCATTTCAGTATGTATGTCTCCATTGCTGTAATTTCCACTTCTATATAGGATTACACCCCTTGGTGGCCAATTATCAATGTATTAATATGAAGATGTCAAACTTTGTGGTACCTCAGAGACCAAAAACTTCTTTAGGCAACATGCTATGAACATGCTAGTCTCAAAATGTGGTGTGGATAATACTTGCATAGGCTGAGGCACTCTGGGTGATAAACAAAATTAACCAGGTGAGAACTAAAGGAATAGCAATATTTCAAAGCACAGTCTGACAGAGCACAAAGTCTATTGTTACTACAATCCATAACCAAAGGGAGTCAGCTGCAAAGACAGCTTTCCACAATCCACAACAAACCCAAAACGTAATGTCACAGAAATACCACTGGGTCAAATTATCAATGTTTTGCAATAAGGCAAATATGACATCTTAATCAGTTCCAAGGAATCAGTTCCAAGTTTCATTATATGGGGTCATCAGTGAGCAGGGCTCAGCAGGTTCCAGCAATAAAAGCCATCAGTGTCTGCCTAGCCATGGCTAAAAACAGTTCCATACTTTCAGCTCCAATGTCTTCCACCTTGTCTTCACAGACCATGCTCTGTGGCTGGTGATCTGTGCTCTTGACCTTTGGATTCCTGGTTCTAGACTAGACTGTGTAATGTATCTGGATGCCTGTGTTTTGACTTCTACCTGCTACCTTGATCACCACTCCTGCCTTACACTGACTGCCCCCCATCCCACCTCAGAATGAAAGCACTGTGCTTGAGCATTTGCCTGTTTTGTTACCTTGCCCTTTGGACAGCCCCTTCACTCTGCTTCAGCCGAAAGAGGGCACCTGCTGAAGGTCTCATGCTCCACTATGGGATTTTGAAAAAATGGCAGTGTTATGACAGGGGCAGGCAGAATGCAGATTAAGACCTGCTAGCAGAGCTTGTGTGGGCTTGCAGTAACTAGTTCTTAAAAATTTCTGATTCCCATTAGCTTTAAAACAAGTAAAATGGAAAGTTAAAAAAATCTTTGTCATAGTTGGCCTTGTGCTAATTCACTTGTGTGGATTGAGTGGTTACCTTTGACCAAATGATCCAGTATCAAAGGCATTCTACATAATTAAAAGCCTGGTGACCCTTTGCATAGCTAGAGCTGACCCTAATAAGGCCCAACCAGTTTGCTCTCCTTATTGCCATTGCTGGACAAATACCCAAGATGCATTATTGTTTACTTTCCAGAATAATTAAAAAAACAGCAGATAAAGTTCAAGACTAATTTCCTGCAATAGATGATTGAAAACTCTTGCAACTATCACATATTCCTGAACAGGAAATGCTCTATACATAGACATCTGGAGGTGGGGCTGCCAATGGGGGAATGTTTTGCTGAGGTATACGGAATGGAAGTCTAGACAATAGAAAACCATCTTTTTACTTCACAGACCCCTAATGAGCACCTAATCACTACACCCGGTGTAAAAAATATATTCCTTCAGATGTTGATTTCAGATCCAATCAACTCCAGAAAGAAGGGCACACTGTCAGGGATAATGGGAGCTGTAATCCAGCAACATCAGGAGGGCCCACATGTTTCCCCTGGCCTGCTTTAGATGTACCTATTTCACGTTATCTTTCTGTTGTAGGTTCTACTTGCTGTTCATCAACATCCCTTTGTTTCATGGGCGGGCACTACACCTGCACGGCAAAAGGTTGTTTTCCACCCACAGACCCAAATGACAAACTACACGCTAACTCACCTCAACATCAGTAACATTTTAGGTTTTCATATTCTTGGTCTAGAAGAGCTTTTGTGCCTTTCCACAGTGTATGAAGGACACTGTAACTAGTTGTCAATAGTAGGTCACAAACTGCTGAGTCATCTGCTGCTTGAACATACCATTAAGGCTGCTTATATTGATATTCCCATAAGTGCAGCAGGCACGTGTTTTCTAGGATCACGGACATGCCCTGATCACTTATATAAACTCTTTCTCCTCTGTAAGGAGCACAAGTCTCTTGCAATCAAGCTCTATTTGCATCTACTTCTATGACCTGACCACACATTTGCTAAACAGAAGGCCTCAGCTGCCACTTAGCTCAATAGCTCTAAACAGCTTGCAGAACACAAACACCTTATTTAGGGCACTCTTAGGAACTGTTGCCAAGTGCTCTAGCTACAAGATTATTCATATGGGCATTTTTTTGTTCCTTTTGCTATTGGGAGATATAATTGGCCTTGGTCCTGGGTTTATCTTGCCACAGAGTCCACATCTCTTTAAGAAGAGCATTTCAGATGGTGTGTGCTGGATTTGTGTCTGATACTATCATGAGGAATCTCAGCTGAGGGGGGTTAAATATTAGGACAGCTCAAGTACTAAGTGATTCCTTTCAAACACTGAAAAGTCATGTTGGGTCAGACCAATGCTAGCCCAGCATTCTGTACAGACAGCGGCAAGCAGCTGCTCACAGGACTGCTAAAGCAGGATGGATGCAATACCTTTGCCTGCTCAGCAACTGTTGTATCCAGGCATGTCACCTCTGGTGAAAGAGGTCACACATAATCAGTACCGTTAGTAGCCACAGATAGTCCCTACTTCCATGGACTTGTCCAATCTATCTTGAAGCCTTTTAGATCTGTGGCCATCACTACTTCCTGTGGCAGTGCATTCCATAATTTAACTATGCATGGTGTGAAGAAGTACTTTCTCTTATCTGTCCTAACCCTTTCCCCAATCAGGTTCATAGGATGACTCTTTGTTTGAGTGTTGTGGGAGAGAGAGAAAGTCTCCTCCACCATTTTCACTACTCCATGCATAACTGTAAACACTGCGAGGATGCAACCTTACTCTCCTTTTTCTAAGCTGAATATTCACACTTTTTGCAGCTGTTCCTCACAGGGGAAATGCTCTATCCCTTTAATCATTTTTGTTGCCCTTTTCTGTATCTTTTTCAATTCAATAATGCTTTTATTCAGATGAGGTGACCAGAACTCAACACAATACAGCAAGTGCAATCACACCACATCGAGGATTTGTATAAGAAGAGTAATAGCTTGAAAGTTCTATTATCTCTTCTGTTCTAATTATGTA